AGAACCAACATTAATGTCTATGGTTACGTAATATGTGTGTGTGTATATATATATATATGAGTTATTAATATAACCTAGAAAATCATATCCTTAAGAATATTTAATGGCTTGGAAGATGCTCAAAATAAAATATGTAGTTAAAAAAGTAGTAAACAAAACTACATAGATATTAAATTAAGATTATTTTATAATTACATTACTTTTTAAACCAGAAAAATGTAAGTTTTTGTTTGTTTTGTTATTTAAATAGGATCTGGTAATGACAGGGATGGTTTTGCCTCCTTTTCAGATTTATGACAAATCTTCATTAAGCCAACAATTTATTTATTTTTATAACTGTATTTATACCAGAGCATTGTTATATCCGTTCTGTCCTTAATCTTGCTGGGTAGAATATTATATTTCAATGAAAATTTGAAAATAAACTTTTTTTGATCACATACATAAGTAATAAATGATTCTTAAGAACATATACTGTGCTGTTAAGAAGTTATCTTTTTCAGAGTGTCTAATAACTTATACCACACCTATGATTGGCTTTATAATTCCTTTTTAGACAGATAAGAAATCTGGGGGAAAAAAGAACATGGAGTGAATTATTCTCTGGCTAGCGGGCAGGAAATAACTTGCTTAAAAATCTAATACTGTATGGATTATACTATTTTGGAATCAGAGCTTCTATAGAAACTTAAGGGTCAGAATGATAGATTCATAATAAAATATAAATAAATCATCTCAAATATTAATAAACCATTAGAAATCAGAGCCTTTGAAATAAAGGATTTCCTACGTGTAATTTTTTTTTGTAAGGGGGTGGGGCAGTGGTGGATCTGTGACTTGCTACCAAGATTCTAATTTTTGACTTCTCAGTTCTTTATTATTCTTTGCAACTATTTCTTTGATCTTCTGTATTCTTTTATTGGTTTATTTTATAATCAGATTGCCTTTGTCCACAAATGCATTAGAGTATTTATTATTCTTTGATACACTCATAGAATTATTGCTTCTCTTTTATTTCTTTCTTCCCTCTTTTTTACTTGCCTCAGTAAATCACGAAACAAAATTGTTTTATGGTGTTTTATTGAAAGGGCTGAACTATAGTGAATTGAAATATTAACTAGATCTCAGAAAGAATTTCTTTATTTATAAGCATTTGTTTAATTTTGAGTTCTCAAGTAAAACTTTTTTAAAAACCTCCTTCAGTCATAACTACCAGAAGCAATTTTTAGCTGTACCAATGTAACTGGGTGATATTGGTTGGAAGATAAACAATTTCTAAGAAAAATTTTATTTCCTGTCATTGATACCTATGCTTTTTTAAAAAGTGGCATAATAAAATGAGGTTCCATATGTTTCTCTCTCAGGGTAGTTTTGAATGTAGATTAGATAATTCTGAAAATAAAACAATTCAGCCCCTAAGGCAAAAAAAGAAACAGAAATGTTTAATCTATACAATCTTAATCTAAATCAATACAAAATATATCATTAGTGAAAGAGGAGAGATCTACATTAGTCATTCCACAGATGAGAATCTAAATTTAATGAAGAGAACTGAGAGCCAGAGAATTTAATACCAGCTGTGCTTTTTTTTTTCCTGATATGTCTCCAGAAAGCTACTGAATCTCTTTAAGACCTGAGTTCTCTCATCAATAAAACAAATGCACAAAATACATAAACTTTTTTCACAATTTTTCACAGACATCTTATAACTGAAGAGAAATGTTAATGCATCCCCCTGCAATATGGGCTCCTACCTTAATGTGGCTTCTACAAGCCTAAAATTTCCTTGAGGTTTTATGTTTCATTTCAAAAATTAATATAAAGCTGGTTTTCTACTCCAAAATCCATGTTTGCCTATAAAAGTATTATGCTTACAGCTACTTACTGTTGGTGAGAGAAATGAGGGTGAGGTGGGATAATTTTCTACTTTCTTAATAATGGAAATAATTTTACAATGAGCCAAGTTTTGAAGAACTGAGCCAAATCAAAGGAAATCAACATCCCATACTGTATTGCATCCAGGCAGTTTCTTTTGTTGCAAGAATTCAAGCTCTTACTTTAAAAAAAAAAAAAAAAAAGGTGAATACAAATGGCAGTTATTTCACTACTTTACAGACCACATCCTGGTAATTAATCCCTGAGGATAGATTACTGAGTAATTAAGCCTTGAAGAAATATTCCTAGAATTTTACAAAAGAGGTGATACAGTGCAATCTTTTCAGATAATTTTTAATGGATATCTTGTTAAATATATTCTAGCTGAGAGGGTGAATAGAAGATTGAAATGATTTACATCCTCTGATTTGTGTCTTTTACAGTCTCAGTAATATTTATGAAAGGATTTCTTCAGGGTAAAAAAAATTGTTAGTGATAAAAGTTTTTGTTTTGCAACTAACATTTTAGTTTTTAATATATATAAATAATCTCAACTGTCCCATAATCCCTCCAGTTTTTTTACATCAAATTCTCAAACTTCACTTATATTGCAATGATCCTATATGTAATATCAACATTCGCAATTTAACCTCTCTTAGTTATTGATAATGTTTAGCCCCATAGAAAAATATGTATAAAGTTAGATAATGGTATGAGGCTTTTATAATTATCTTGAAGAGTATATTTCATCTTATCCAAATTTTAATCTTTTATGATTTCTCTTAAATTCTAATCAAAGAAAAATAAAAATCAGGTATCTGGATTAGCTGTGAATTTCTTTTATTTATACTACTCTATCATAATTGCTGATTAAAAGTTGACTAGAATAAATGAGAGCATTACATTTTAAAATTATTTATTTGACTTTTCTCTACAACTCGAATTTTAGTTTATGAGAAATCTTTTTCAAATTCTTTCTGAAGTTTTTCAGTATTAAGCATTATTACCTGGTTCACGAGCCACAAAAAAATTCACATGACTCTTAAATGACAACAACTTCTGGCTTTGATAACCACATTGATTTTCTAAAGCTTTCCTCTTATGATAATTAAGAATTTACAAAATCAGATTTAAAGACAGGAAATTGATGTGAAGCATTGACAGATGAGCTGTGTGCTCTAAAACCCTTGTTTAAATTAGTATTACAGTCTGTTTTTCACATTCAGAGTTCAATGGTGACTATCTTTTCTCTTCTTATGTTTCATTCTTTCATTCTGTACTTGCAATTGCATTGTGAACTGAAATGATTTAGGAAAAAATTCTTTTATACATCAATATATTAACATAAAATTTCTTCCATTAATGAGATAGACACACAGACAGGGACATATACACATATACATCCTCTCATAAGCATCAGTTTTTTTCCCCAACCCATTTATTTCCAGGCCTATTAAAAGGAATACAGCTTTAAAGTAGAAATCAGAAACTGGATTTTGGCTGTTGATTTGTCATTAACATCCTATGTAACATTGAAGAAACTACTTCATGTTGCTGGATTTGATGTAATGTTAAGCTTTCTAGAAATAAAAAATAATGTAGAAAATTGTGTTCACTTGTTACTATATAACAGTTCTGAAAGTGTTCAGTTTCTGAAAGTTTTCAGAAATCAGCATAAGGCATTAGACTATTTTTATTGGAAAACAGCTTTTGATATAAAGATGTTCTCTGATATCAAAGTAAATAGCACAAGAAAATGACTAGATATTATGAACTCAGTGTTCATCCAGAGGCTCATTCATATAGAGAGAGTGTTGCCATTCTAACTAGTATCCATTGTTTCTAAATTTGAGAATTCTGTTAAACTAAGAATAAGAATCAGCGATTATCTTTAGGATATAACATTTAGTTAATGTTGAAGAATTACTAAAAACTATTTATATCAAGTAAAACCAAAAGTTGACACAATTCTTATGGACCAAGATGCATTTGTTTCAAGGTGAAAATTTAATTTTCTCATATTATTTCTAAGCAATCTCCATATACTATCAGAGATGTCCTAAAGGGGATTAGACAATCTATAGCCTGCCTCCCGGAACTATACTTTTGTAGCATGGTCAGATTTCTTATTTTTCCTGGGGACTTCAATACTGGGAATTTGGCATCAAACTGATACTTCCTCCTAATACAAACAGGAGTATCACAGCTAACTTGGAGACCATCATTCTGCATGTGTAGGAATCCATAATGTAAAAAAAGCACTTGGTCTGAAGCTTCCTTCCACTCTTCCCCTACCCTGTTTTTGATCTGTCTTCCTCCTTAACCAAAATACTAGTTATTGTTACAACTCTATGAAAAAACAAAGGAATTTCTACTTTATATCTCATCTAATGAAACACTTTGTGTCAAGAATCTTCCTTTCCTCTTTTACAGTGTTGCAAAACAAGTTTTTTAAATAGCAGTTTCACTTTCCTTTTTTGCTATCTTACTCAAGAGGAAAATTCAGCTGAAATAACAGAAAGCTTTGAGGGAGTGAATGTATCTAACATTGGTCTGGCATTAAAATTTTCTGGTTGGGCAGCAAAGTTGTTTAATTGGGAATCTCAGTGACAGCTGAACAACCTCAGTGCTTGGGTTAGCAAGCAGAGGAGCTTCACTCTGTCACCTATCAAGAATGATGCTTGTCAGGACTGGTCTTTCCACTTAAAAATCACTCATATTTCTAATCATACCATTGGTATTTTCTGATATTACTATGAAATAGATACTGAAAGAGACGAAGTTTTCTGTGTAGGTATATTTGTAATTCTTTGTTTTTCATAAACCAAATGCAAATGTAACACTACTCCAGATACTGCTTCATCAGAAGTCCCCAAGATAATCAAAAGTAAGTGTGCATTTCCTCATCTTAGGAATAGTGTCATAGCAAAGATTGAATTGTAGTGACCAGCCTATTTGTAGAGCATGTCATATAGCCTCTGGGTTAGTTAACTCCTTGGCCTCCTAAGACGTACCTCAAGGAGTCAATTGATGTTTTTGCATGTATTACTTACTAATGTTTAGAAAAATTTTTAAGTTCACTTTTTCTTTATTCTGTCTTTTTTACCCATCTTCCCTCATTGTAGCAAATTAGACGACCGGATGAAAGCAAAGGAGTTGCTAGTAGAGTTGGATCCCTCAAAGTAAATATGTTTCTAACATTTTTTGGCAAGATTTCGTCTATAGCCTACACTTCTTCCTTTTTGGAGGGTGGTGGGCGGAAAGGGGCTTTTTCCATTTTTCACCATCCCATTTTGTTTTATTTTAATATTTTTATTGGCTGTTGGGTCATATTTTTTTGTTTGTTTCAGCTACACATAGAGCAACCAGCTGAAGGCAAGCTGCCAAATAACTAGCTTTGAATGGCACCAGAAACAAGAGAAAGGCTAACTGCCTCATTACAGGTGCCTATAATTTGGGGTTCTAGAGTAAACCGTTCCTCTGATTGATGTCACTGACTATGTGTTAAGTTCCTGTCACATGGAAAACTAATATTTATTTTCAGAATATTATCTCCCATTTTTAGTTTTTTGGTAAAAAGTAATCAAATGTTATTTTAGTGTCATTACCATTTGTAGTTCACTCCAGAAAAATAATTATTATGAGTTTAAAAACATGCATTATATATATAAACTTAAGAATTAGAAAGGAAAGGAATTTTATATGATGCTATTATAGTGGGCTCACATATAGCTAATAGTATTTAAGCCCTTTTAATCAATCCCCTTTATTTTTTTAAAGTTAAAAAACTGATATGACAATCAACAGAAATTGATATGTATCTAAATGTTTGCCCAATTGTGTATGTGGCCTACTAATACACCACTTAAAGATTTCTGATCTGATGGTCCCATTTGCTAGTTGTTAAATATCCATTTGGTCAGTATATCTTGGGCACTCAAGACTCTAACATTTAATCACAATGAAAAGGTAAATAAGTTATCACCCTTAAGAAACACAGACATAGCCAATTAATCACTTTTAAAGCTGCCACCATAAATGCAGGTTGGAAAATTTGCTGAGTTTTAAAAATATGTAGAGGAATCTTCCCCCAAATTAACCACTTCTGTCTCAATCCCATTTGTCCTTACAACAATAGTGACTGTTAAATTAATCAAAATGACATATAATTCACTGTACTGGAATGTGCTAAAATTCACTGATTACTTTGAGGCTAATATTAAGTCATTTTAAAATTTTACACACCTCCAGTTTATTTCCATTTAACAATTTATGAAGCACTAATTTCTGTACTCTTTACTCTCCTTGCCTCTCTGCCTTCTTAATTTTACTTTTTTGTTGTTGTTTATTTATCTGTGTGTGTGCACACATGAGTGCACATGGATGAGGGTGTGTCTGTATGTTTGTGTCCTTTATTCCAGACAAGCCATCTTCTCTGTTCTCTAGCACTGCTATATACTGGGTAGCATTTTTTTTAATGTTATTTCACTAAGGATAATCAAAGGGGAAGGAAGTATTGATTATATGCTTATTTCCAAAATGAGGCCAACTAAAATTATTTAGTCAGAAAAATATGAGTTTATGTGTCTTGATGATATATCAGTAGCATTCCTCACTGTCTACCTGTGAGGTATCATATTTTAATTCTTTAAGGGACCATAAATCTATTATTGTCTAGGCTATGGATTATAACTCAGATTCAAGTGAAAAGGTGCAGTTCCACAAAGCTTTTTGGAAATACTGATAGTGAAATGAAAATAAAATGGCATCCATAACTGCAGCAGCGTCTGCTGTAAACTGAATTGTGTGTACAAGTGAGTGTGTGTTTAATTATCTGTAAGTTCAGCTTTTGGATGTATACAACTTCAAGTTATAATTGTCTGTTTATTGTTTTTAAGTGTATATACAGCATGATTATGTGTATACACATGTGTATGTATAAGAACAAAAGCTACGTTTTAGAATTCGGTTTACTTTAATATGGATGCAGCCTTAAATCAAAAAGTGTGTTTGGGAAAGAAAGGCAAATTTCCTAATTTTAAAATATCTTTATTCCATATTTCTACCAAATAGAAAAGTTGAAATCCTCTCTAGGGGATTATAAGGATAGCTATAGTATTTATTTTCTGTAACACTTGAGGGAGAAAAGATTCTGTAATTAAAATAACATGTTGTCTTCCTAGTCATGGTTTATTGAGCATGTATTCTTGCACTATAAAAAGAACTTTGATGTTTTGAAATGTTTGCTAAAGGCAGTGAGAAATGTATAATGCTGTGATCTTATTTTTAAAAGGAAAAAGGAAAACTGAAAAGAGAACAAGTTGCTTTTTCAATTCATTTTCTGATGTTTACATGTAGCTCCATCGAAAGCTGGAGGAGCTCAGAGATCACCTAGAAGGCAATGTGAAAGGATACTCTCTCAGAGTAAATGTACGATTTCACTCGGTGATTTTTTTTTTTCCTAAACTTCTGCTGACTGGTAATTCCAAATCTGATTGGTTTGTCCTCTCATCTCCATCTTTTTTACTTTCTGTCTCTTTTCTCCCTATCTTTTTCTTTCTTTTCTAGCTGCAGCTTCATGCTCACATTTATGAAATAAAGACTAAATTGGCAGGGTAGAAGACCTTTAAACCACATTAACATTGCATTTGATTTAATAACATTCTGGCTCCAATGCAAAATAAAAACTTTTTTTTCAAAATCTGTGTTTCTTATACAGTTGTGTAATTTTCTGAGGATCTTTTCATGAGACTTCATTTGGAGCTTTTCCATTGACTCTGTCTTCTGCTCCTTGTTGGATATGTCAGCAGGATTATAAAGTACGATCTGGATCCAAGTGATAAAGCCTTGATGGTTCAATTTCCATTGTCAAGGAAAATATCAATGTCAGAATGTCACTATAGGTAATCTGAAAAGCTGACACTTTTTTTTCCTGAGTTAATTGATTTCTCTTAGCTCAGACTCTTTGGGAATAACTATAAGATATCATTTTTTTGTTTAAAAATAAGAAAATTAGGCAGTAAGAATTTTCACTAGGAATACCATTTTGTAACATCTTACAGATACTTGAGATAATGGCTAATATACCCAGGACAACACTTTGAAGAAGAAAATACCTTAGAGCCCCTCAATACTGTACATACTTCATAGAGGGATACTAACAGTAGTATTTTTTTGACTGATAGTTCACACTCAGAATTCTTGGTCCTTCTCCTGAATGTATCTTTTAAAGACAAATGGAATTAAAATCTCTAGAACAGTATATGGTATAAATATGACAGAAGAAAAGCTCAAATATTGCAGTAAATAATTTCTGGCTGTATTTAACCACCTATTCCTGGGCATTAAAAAAAAAAGTTCCTATGAATCCTAGCCCTGATTTACTTCTCCCAAAATTATTGCCATACACTTAATTCATGTTGCCATAATAGTTTTGTTACAGAGGATAGAATAAAAAATATTGATATGATAATTCTCTGTTTTGTCAGCTTTATTTTTAATTATATACTCCATATAGTTATATATATCTCTTCATTAAATTTCTGCTTTCTAAATTTCAAAGTTTTTATTAATATCAATCGTTAAATTCAGATAGCTAAACAGAGAAGGAAATTTATGTCTCATTTTTCTACTTCTTTCTTTTGAACCAGTCCTTCTTTTCAAGTGTATTCTTAAGAGTATTTGAAAGATCATCTACAATCACCCAAGGAATCTGTTTCACTATTTTAAAAAGCTTTTTTAAGATTAGTATGAATTTTATGGTTGAATCAGTCTAGATATACCTGGATGATATTCTAGAAACTTCTAAAAAGTTTCTGATAATGTATGTGTTTAGTGCTGTACTCTTCCCTAGCCAGTCTTGAGAAATGATACTATTCTTCTTTCAATCAAACCAAGACCAGAAAGCTGAGGCTTGCTAAGGTCTATATGATAGGAAGTTAGAGTTAAATTAGGGTTAAATTGAAAGTTCTGTGCTTTGAAAATTGGGTTTTCTCATGCCACTCTTCAATTTCTTTTTTTCAATACCTATACTGCATGGTGGAGTACATAATAGCTAATCTCAATGTCTTCATCTTTTGTTTCATTTCACTGGGTCACACTTTGTTCTGATTACTTTTTTTCTAAAAAGATTGAATATAAAGAATATCATTCTAAGATTCTCATTAGCTAGAAAAATATAAAAAAATAAACTATCAAAAGGCAAATAATAATATCTTCTCTACAGAGTTCAGCTAAGAAAAGATACAAATCAAATGCTTAGCTGAATGTTCACTTTCTCTCCTTTCCTTTAATTCTCATTACCCCAGAATTCCTTAAAATATCCCTTTGTATATTAAAAATTATTGCTTTGAAGCAGAATAAAGTTATTCTCAGTACCATAAGCTATATAAACAGATTTTGTTTCTAAAATGAGATAAATTGGCATGTAGCACCCATTCCATTTTATGAAAATTTATTGTAGGTGTCCACAGACAAGAGCAGGTATATGGGTATCTTTTAATTCATTGAAATATTGCTAAATATTTCAATAAGATGAAAGGTTCAGAACAAAGTTGCTACTTAAATATTTTATTTAATAGTTGAAGAAGGTGAGACATCATTCACAAGTTTGTGATAAGGATTTAATTAACTCATTAATGCTTCCATTGGTATCATCCATATGATGTATTATTTTTTATAGACGATAGAACCCTTTTGATAGAAATTTTGATTTATTATGTATAATCAATGATATAAAGTAGAATATACTGTTAAGTAATTTTTAGACTATTACTAAATTTTATTTATTTCTCATACGAAAACATTTCTTTATTTTACACGGACTCTTCTATAGCAAAAAGTAGGATGCATTAGATTCTTGAATTCTAAATTAAGAATGCATTCTCTTTTTCTGCATATTGTACAAAGCTAAAGTATTCTGAACCCTAAATGGGTTTTTAGTAATTTTAATAATAGAAAATTTATCACCTTGTAACTAAATAAAGTTTGCTTAATTTAATGAAGAATAAAACCACATAAAGAAAAAAAATTAATTTTCCATGTAATCAAATGCATGGATTTAGTAAGAAGAATATAAGTCAGACAGAGAAAGATAAATACTGTATGATTTACTTTTATGTGGAATCTAAAAACTATAACAAACTAGTGAATGTAACAAAAAGCAGCAGACTCACAGATATAGAGAACAAACTAGTGGTTATAAGAGGGGAGAGGGGGGCAATATAGGAGTAGGGGATTAAGAGATATAAACTATTTGTATAAAATAAGCTACAAAGATATATTATAGACACAGGAAATGTAGCCAATATTTTATAATAACTATAAATGGAGTATAACCTTTAAAAATTGTGAATTACTGTATCATACATCTATAATTTATAGAATATTGTACATCACCTATACATCAATAAATAAATACATAATTCACAAGATTGAAGCACAGTGCAGACAGTGTTCAGAATTGGAAAACAAGATAATGCAAACAAATCCTTTGTTTAATATACATCAAGGTAAATTTATAATATTGAAGTTAATTCATTAAAGTGCAGTGGGTCCCTGGAGAACTTGAATGTTAAAACATTAACAAAAAAGTAGATAAATTCTCATGAAATAAAGACAAATAGGAAAAAAAGAAAGGAGAGGAATAAAAATACCTCAAAGCCACAAATTTTGTGTTTTCACTTAGCCTATGTAATATGACGGTAAATTTCCATTCAGGTACAAATATATACAGATTAGTTTTGGGTAACCAAATGTGTTAATTTTTTAAAGGCTTTGACGTACAAAGGGAAGATGACTTAGGGAGATAGATTATTGATGTATAAGTGAACTAAGAAGAAAGATAATGAAGTAGACGAAATATAGGTACCTGCTATACTAACACACACAAAAAAGGGATGGTATTATTTGAAGTGGAAAAAGTTAAGGGAGGAGCTATCACTTAAAATAAGGCTGTATTTTTATTAAGTTTAAGAAAAATGTTTGAATCAAGTCAGAAAGCAATGTCTTTTGAAGAGTGGTTTTTAAATATTTAATAATTTCTTGAATGCCAAAATAAGACTAGTATGAAATAGGATAATATAAACAATGAATTAGATGGTTGTGATTTTATAGATCTTTTAATATCAATATTTTCATTCCAGCATTAGTTTTGAACTAACTCTTTTTACATTGTCAAAGAATTTTCTTTGGATTTTTTGTACTTTTTTATTCATTAAGTTAATGCTGTAATTCAGAGGTCAACAAACTACAGTCCTCAGGCCAAACCCTGTTTCTCTTTTGTGGGTCTTTTGTGAGCCCATGAGCTAGGAATGAGTTTTGCATTTTTTAAGTGATTGGGGGAAGGCAGTGGAATCAAAAGAACATCATTTTGTTACATGTGGAAAATTATATAAAATTGAAATTTCAGTGTCCAGAAATAAAGTTTTATTAAAACATAGCCATACTCTTCATTTGCATTTAGTCTATGGTTGCTTTTGCACTACAGTGGCAAAGTTGAGCAGTTGTAGCAAAGACCATATGGCACATAAAGCCTAAAATATTTACTATCTGACTGTTTACAGAAAAAGTTTGCCAATACTTTCTAAAACGGGTTAGTGTGTCAAGATGACATTGACAAAGAAATGGTTATAATAGGGGCTGTAATTATAGGGCTGTATAATAGGGGCTGAAATTATCTTTATTTTAGAGATTGAGAAAAGGAATGCTGCACATTTTGGGGGGGGTTCAGATTATTCTGCATGGAACATGTGCTTAAAAGAGTTGATCCCCTGAAATTTTCTACCTTTACATTTTTTGTCTTCCTTTTTACATTGTTTTTTCTAGCTACTCTTTCTTCACATGCAAAACACACTCACATGCAAAACACTCACACATGCCCACAAAGTAAATGGTGTTACTATTAAACCCTTTGAATTTAGAACTATCACATGGATAAAGTATAGATTATAAATTCCTCTTCTTTGGAGGACCTCTTACAGAGATTTATTAGAGTATAAAGATAAATTTTATTCTTGCTCCTTAAACTTTTTAAAAATGTGTTTTTATTTTGCTGTACACATTGCATTTTTCTGTTTATTACTTCCTTGCATCTTAATAAAGATATTTCCCCTGAAAACCATAATCAGCTTTTGATTTCTACTACATTTCCTATTTGACCGTACCTCAACTCATACCTTCTAAAAGTTTCATTTAACTGTCATATCTTAATATAGCACTTAAAAATCTAAAAGGTGTCTACATTGAATCAGTCAACTTTGAGGTGATGAAGAACAGCTGGAACGTTAGATAAATAATCTTTCAGTAGCCTTTAAATGAGTAAACATCAGTTTGTTTGCATACTTTTTCTTTAAGCAAATGTCAATGTTTCTTTGTTCTAGTGTATAGAACATTGAGCCTCCTAAGTCCTCCTATTTTAACATTTTGGCATT